TATACGGATATTTTTTCAGAAGCCACCTGGCCACAAACGATATCTCAACAAAGTGGCTAATCATGTGGACATTTATCGCAGCCAAATACTCGAAGTGCATTTTTCTAAGTGTGCTGGAAAAAAAACAGAAAAGCCACACGACCACACGGAGAGACGCGCAAACTCCAACCCACGCCTGACCTCTACACCATTCGAGGTAGTGAGACATCTCGCCACCGTGACGCCCGTATAGGATTAGGTGAGAGAATCGGGCTTGTACTCATAGCTGCACGGATAGTTGCAGGTCAGGACTAGACGCAGTACTGCACTTGTGGCTGGTTGGTTAGGGGTAGGGGAAGAAATAGTACCCGTGGCTGGTTGGTTAGGGGTAGGTGTAGAAATAATACTGGTTGGCTATTTACTTACGGTTATTGAGAGCACTGGGCTCGTATCGTGTGGCTGCTCGACTACGTGGTTAGAGTTAGGGCTTTAGAACTGTTTGGTTGGAACTGCTCTTTAGAACTGCTCTCTGCCTTGAGTTGACAGTATTGTACTGTCCTTCCCCCGCACGGCCTGCTACGTGCCGGTGCGGAAGACGTTCAGCAAACATACATAAGACTCATTACCAGTGGCGAGCTGCCTATGGTTGATTAGTGTTTGCCTGGATTGCCACCCCCGTCCACAAACTCCATTCCCCCTCACCTGCCCCCCCCCACCTCGCCCCACCTCGCCACTCCCCACGGCAATGCCTTGCCCCTGTCCACCGTGTTTTTTTCTGCTCTTCGTTTCTGATGCTCGCAGTGCCATCCAGCGGCCACGTGGGGAACACTTCCATTTTGTTATTTTCAAGCGATGCCATCCCTGAATGACGCGTCTCGTCGTCATCATTATCACCTGAAAATATTCATCACTGGTCATGGTCAATCCACTGCTGGATGAAGGCCTCCCCGCACCTGACGCCACCTCTCACGAACCTGCAATGACCATTGCGCCAACGTTATTTTTTACTAAACTATGACTAAGGCGTTCGGCTCTGTGGACATTTGTTAAATATATAATCAAAGACAGTGTTTTTTTTAATAATCAAAGGCAGTGTTAACCACAACGGCGGTAAATATTTGTTTCAGAATGTACTTTATTTTAATGTTATTACCTTTTTTACCTCTCATTTACAGCGCTTTGAGATTACACATTTTGAAAAGGCGCATTATTAAACTGAGTTTATTATATGATTTAGATGACCATATTTTTTGGGTCTTTCGGTAAAGTCACGTAGATAGGTTTTCTTTGAACCTATCTACGTGACTTTACCGAAAGACCCAAAGAATATGAATCCCTGCAGTCACGAAAGCTTTAAGTCAAGATTTTATTAGATTACCGTTTTAGTCTTGCCCCTAATTTATTTCGGTCGTACGCCCAGCCTCGCGTCGCGAACCCACGACGCCGTTTGGAAGTCGAGCAGAGAACTGTGAATGCACGAAGCGTTATAACCTGCCCGGGTTTGACCCCGTAGATTCCAGGCATGCCCATCGACCTGTGTTTAGGTGGCAGCAGGAGTCTGATTCGTACCCTAGATCTGGTAGTACCGGTATCGTGATGAACTTTATCACATTACGCTTGCATAGTTTTGGCAAAATACCTCTTACCGACTCAGAAATGTGTCCGGGTTTAATCCACCGTGGGGAAGGCGGCGACCTTAAATGCCCCCCCCTCCTCCCCCGTGTCTTTAGAACGCAATTACGGGGGGTGGGAAATACAAAAAAAATATCCACCGGGGTTTTATTGAGAGAGAGAGAGAAAAAAACCGTTCATGTCACATTTTTGTCCTTTACAGAGGAGGGGGTGCGGTTTCCCACACTGGACTGCTTTGAAACTGGGTCTGTTCATTTCCATGCCGTTTGTAATTCTCGTGGCTGGAATGTATCCACTTTAAATGAGGCCACATTGCGCGCGATGCTTTTGTTTTGTACTGCCAGTCATTGGCGAGCGCCCTGCGATCTTCAACACCGGTACACTTGAGAACCCAGTTGAATTGTCTCTCGTTTGGCTGGAACATGGATTCGATCCCAGAATCTCATGTTCGTGCCGGATCCGCCCTCTGAACTCTGAGCCTGTAACTTCTGGCTCACGCCAATGCCGGCTTAACTAAACTATTTTTTAAAATATTTTATTTTACCAGGTAAGACCCATGGAGCTATACATCTCTTTTTCAGAAGCGACCTGGCTATCACAAATGATAGCTCAACTAAGTTGCTTATCACGTGGAAATGTATAGCAGCCAAATGCTCAAAACGCATGTTGATTTTAAATGTGGAGGGAAAAACTGCAGAACCTGGAGAAAAATCCACGCGACCACGGGGAGAGACACACACGCAAACTCCAAATATACAGCAGGCGTCAGGGTCGGGATCGAACGAACGACCTCCTGCATACCAGGCGAGGGAGTTAACATCTCGGCACCGTGACGGAAGTGGCCTCCACTAGAGGGAGTTCGAGAGAATCCCTGCATAGACGATGTGGCCTCCTGCCACGCTGGTCTTGCAAGAGTTGGAAGTATCCAGCACCGAAACTCCGCCACATTTAAACTCTACCCCAAAATGTTTTTCAACACGTTTATGATGCGCCGCTTTGGCGATGTCAACAACTATTTGCACAGCCTATTCTTGGTTCTTTCGGTAACTCACGTAGAAGGGAATCAATAAAATAATAAAAATATAAAACAATACAATTCTCACGACGTTTCGACTGCAACACAAGCAATCATCATCAGGTGTGAAAACCACAGCCGTTGTAGATTATTATTATTATTTGTGTCCACATGACTGAACAGAGTCACGCGGAACAAGGTCAACAAGAAACCGGTAACAATAGCGACTTTTTTTATCACACATGATTACTCAAGAATGTCTCACCGAGTCTCATGACTATTTCAGATGTTACCTATCTCGCCTGGTATGGAGGAGGTCGTGGGTTTGATCCCGACCCTGACGCCTGTTATATATTTGGAGTTTGCATGTGTCTCTCTCCCCCTGTGGATTTTTCTGCGGGGTTTTCCCCCCACCACGTTTAGAATGAACGCTCGTTTCGAGTATTTGGCTGCTATAAATGTCCACTTGATGACGAGCCACTTCGTTGGGCTATCACTTGTGGCCATGTCGCTTCTGAAAAAGAGATATACGGCTCAGTGGGCCTTACCTGGTAAAATAAAACATTTTTAATAGTTTATTCGGAGTCGGGATGGGGGGGGGGGGAGGCTATGGTCACCTCGTGTAATTATTTTTTTCAAATTTGGACCACGATGTTGGCATTACGTAATTTTGCTCTTGTAAATGACGTCACGGGAACGTCAATGCCCCATGTGAAGCGCACGGCGCGCGCGTGTTTTTGATGAACGCAGCCGCACACACCGTGGCAGGCGCGCATACTTGATGCTCGAGTGGCACACTAACACTCCCCCCCCCCCCTGGCGAGCGGGCGTGCGACTGCAGTCACCACCCAGAACAGAACCACGGCACGGGTAACGACTCCATGCCCCGTTTACAAAATACAGAGGAGGGGGGGAGGGCAGCATCCCACGTCACGGAGAGGCACTCCGCCACTCCCAACTCGATTATCTGGCTCAACCACCTAGTAACAATAATAAGTGTTGTTGTTGTTGCTCGACATCCACCATCAAGCCGTACGACGTCAAAGAAGAAGACCCGCGGTGTTAATCGGGGCGGCCGGCTGGATTCGCACCGCGAACTTCTTCAACAAGCGGTGTAACGAGCTCTAACCCACCGGTGCCCGCTAGGTCGCGCTCGCTGTGTTTCCTGCCTCCCGGCTTGGCTAACGTTTGACGGCCGTCTCGGAAACGCCTTTGCCCACTGCTCCACTTGAGGAACCTTGCGTTGTGCAGCGCTCCCAATTGCTGTGTCCATATTCACACAAAGACAAACTGTTGGGGCAAGTGCTGTTGGCGAGCACCTATGGATACGATGTCGTTTAGTTTAGAATGTCTGATCTCCCAGTAATTCTACATTCGACCGGTTGGCGGGCGATGTCTGAGCGCCTCTCGTGGCGACAAGGTGAATCCACTTAGACGCATCATCATCAGCCACGGATTTGTCCACGTCAGTGCCGGATTATCGTAGTAGCAAAAGTAGCTACATATGCTACGGGCCCCGCACTTTCAAGGGCTGTCAATTCCGGTTCAGTGATTCTGCACTTGCTCGATTACTATAGTACTATACCGCCTTCAACTTCGGTGAACGACTGGGTGTTTAAGATTAGCGATTTGACGTATGATCTGGCTGTAAAGCTAATGAAAAAAATACAATTACTTTACTATGCAAGTAAAAAATGAGTGTTTTAATATTTACGTGTGTTTTTTTTTATTTAGGGCCGGTTTATAACACCATATGCGACATGCCCTGCACGAGCTTCATCCGGTACTGTGCACATGCGTCCGTGCCACGTTGATGCACGTGTCGCTTGCTCCTCTTTCCGTCTCTCAGTCATGTCGAGGGTGCCCCTCTCCCTGCTTCTTTGTGCACTTTACAATATTTGCTAAAAAAATCTTCTTCTTCCGTAAATGATGGGATAGTTAAACGTCACCACGTCACAGGAGGCAATACACACGGATTAAACAACGCCCTCTTTTACGATGTTTCCACATGATCGAATTCCGCGTTGCAAAAACGCTCCCAAACCTGTTTAAATTCAAGTTATAGACGATAATAAAACAATATTCACAATAACGTAATATATTTTTATTATTGCAGCATCTGTCAGGGGTGTGCATGGAATTATTAAAATCACAAACGGTGGGGTGAAGAGACACAATCGGTGTTCTAAAAAGCACACGACCACTCGTACATATAAAACAAACAAAGATGCCCCCGTATAGCCTCAACAGACTGTTGGGGCAAGTGCTGTTAGCGAGCACCTATGAAGGCCGGCACGTCACAAAGGGGGTGGTTGGCCAGCACCACTCCCCGCCGCCTTTGTTTCCCCAGTGCTGATGTTTACACACCGCACTCATCATCACCGGGTACTCATTGGAGGCTGAGTCGACCTAAGAGAGGCCAAGGACCGGTTCAGATAATTAATCGTCACCGCTGTTTCTCCGTGAGCGACGACTGAACTCGGGCTCACGGGGTTCGTAGCGCAGCAGCGCGCTCACCGCTGCGCCACCGCTCGCGCACGGACACACGGAGACACTTTCAGCGTGAAAAAGGAGAGAAAAAAACAGATTTTTAAAATGGGAATCGGCAACACGCTGGGTTTTCCAATTACGCGGATTCAAACCGCTCGCACACATAAAACGCACGACGTGCGGTCCCCATTCACGTGTGTGTGTACGGAGAGAGGAGCCCTCTGCCAATCCACGAGCTGGATAGGGGCCTGTGCCACCCCGTGCGAGCCGTGGGGGTTATTTGACCATACTTCGCCACTGCGGTCCACGTGGGTTGGTGGCGCGGAAGGTCGACGCGGGGGGCACGGAAACGACCCCGCGCCGACTGGCTTGGTGAAACATGGTCAAGTCCCCTCCCCCCCGCCCCCCACGACCATCATCCAGCCGTGGATTGATAAGAGTGGCTGCAACATGTACTTGCCATTTTGTAACCGTCCAATCCATCTTCGCAGACAATTGTTTAACTTCATGAAACCTTATCGCCCGTGGCACAAGCTCCACGGGAAGGGCGTCGAGTCGAGGATGTAGAATGCATTGGTGTAAACAACATTGAAGAACGGGAAAGGGGAGAGGTAAGAGAAAGATTAAGAGATAAGATAAGGAATGAGAAACGAGAGGAAAGGCGACGGAGAAACGGGAGCACGGGGTCAGGGGATACGAAGACGGGGAAGAAGAGGCGACACGGGAGCGGCGTCTGTTTTCACAGTGGGCGGGGAGAGGCGAGAGATTCAGAGTGGGGGTGGCCACACAGAAGTCACGTGAATTACATGAGGCTTGAGCCTACGTACGTAGATACTGTATACCAATTGAAGACCAATAATTACCGGAGCGCACACCCGCACACGGTAATAAGAAGAGACAAATTGGCAAGCCAGCACAGTTTACCTGCTGACATCATCAGGTGGCCTCGAGGATTACGACAAATTCACGAATGGCTGTACCAGACTCGAGAGATGGCTGTACCAAAGATCAAAGTGACTTCCTGCTCAAACGAGCATTGAGGCAGAGTTAATGCCCGTTTATAACTCTGAGACCGTGGTGGAAATTACACATTCCTATGGTGGGGAGGTGATGGTGGGGGGGGGGGGGAGAGTCTCTCCATAGGACAACCGCTGTTGACGTCCCGACGATGTGGTTGGTGGTCACTCAGTGTGCCTACCCCGGGAGGGATGAGCGGCTGAGTCAACCGCCCACCCATCCAGATTTTTGAACTGGAAAACCTTCAAACCGCGAGCGGCTCGCTCGCTCCCTCGCTCGGCCGCACGAGCCACCTCGGGGACGGTTTATTTGCGACGTCGCTCCCGAGGGCAGACACGGGTGTCCATGGCGCGAGCGCTTCGTGCGCCCTGGCGTCTGACGGAGGCGGCGTGTAGCCTCTTCACTCAAGGGGGTTGACCCTTTGTTGACCCACGCGAGAGCGCACTGGGATTCCTGAACCGATTCGCGACGTGGGCTGCGCGAGGACCCAGGGGCCACCCCAAGAGCATTTTAAATATTAGCAACTTCTTTTAGTTACATCCAGGTGAGATTGCAACAAAAAATTGGGGCTTGTGCACGAGTTATTTTTAACTAGCGAAAGACAAAATACATTTATTTTTACATAATTGAAAGAAAAAAAATTCAATTAGTTGCAAGATTAATTTTACGATCTTGTGAAATTGCATTCGCACTAATCTCGCGTGAGCATGTCTCTTCATTTTCTACCCAAATTGATTGTAAATTGCAATTGATAGAAACGCACACACACATTTCCCAGAAGCCCAAGGGCACATCGGCAGCATTTGATTGCCACAGCAGTGCATTGTCTCCCTGCATCGTATCCGGCTGGAGTAGGTGGCAGGTGACAAGTAGCCACATCCACAGCGAGGGGGATACTGGATGGGGTAGGCCGGGCGCGGACTGAAATATTCCGTGTCTACCGATCAATGAACATAGGTGGCGCATGATTACCATTGCTACAGCCCATAGCGAGATGTATACTGGATGTTGTGTACTGGGTGTGAAACGAAGGTGTGGTTTGAACCGCGATGGAACCAGGGGTGCAGGCACAGGACCGGGAGAGTTCCCTTCGTCCTGCTCCATGGGGCCACCCAGCGGCGACCGAGGGCCACGATGCGACTTGGACAGCCTCGGGGGGGGAAGCCACTCGCGTGAAACTCCGCGGTGACGCCACCTAACCCTTTCCCGTTCCGAGACGACCCACTGTACTCACCGCAGAGAACCGTAGCGACGCGACCGCACTCTACGATAGCTGGCGCGAAACTGTGCCGCACGCCCTCACGCATGGCCTTGTGGGAGCCTCGGTATCGATAAATTACTTTAGTTTTTTTTTCCGCTTCCATTCCGATGACGTACACGTGCGCTCTAGGAGTTCGGGCCGCCCGTTGTTTCAGCTGCCATGCCGAGAGTGCGCATCGAACCGGACGCCCTCTGGGTCGCACGTCCGGTGTGCCCCAACTGTTACGGAAAAGAGCAGAGGCGACCACTCCATCTCTTTTTTTTTTAAATAAAAAAAAATAAGAAATGCGGAATTGGCCCCCCGCGGTTAAAATCGGCCTCTGTTGCTCCTGGACGCTCGCCGGCGCTCGTGAATTCCCAACTCGTCGCAGGGTCCGGGGTTCGTTTCGCGCGACCGGGGGCGAGGAGACGAGCGCGGCCTCCCTCCTCGCCGGCGTCGCTGCCGCCCACAGCGCCCTCCGAGCCGCCGCTTCCCGCGTGGGACGTGGCGGCTCCCCAACGCGCCCGGCGGGGCGGCCACGGAGATTCCCCCGTGCACGAGCGAGGGCTCCACACCCTTCTCCACCGCCCCTCCCCTCCACAGCCCCCCCCCCCCTCCCAGGATAAAATATACATATTTACAAATCGTGAATGTACAGGCCTAGCGGTGTAGCGGCTCATCAAGACTGTGGACTCGCGAGAAGGGGGCAGAGGATGGAGACCGCTCGATTGGACGGGGTGCTCCGATTTGTCGCGGTAATTATCTATGGGGCCATTGTTTTGCCACCAGTATCACCTGGATGCCTTGTGATAGATGTCTATTTGGCGTTTGAATATCTTAACATCTGTAATCTTGCCAGAAAGGGTAAAGACTATTATTTTTTTCCCATCTTGTTGCAGAAACTTTTTATCGTTTGCTGTGTGTGGGGCGGGGGGGAGGAGGGCTACTCCTGTCCCCCCCTCCCCGCCCTACACACACCTTCTGCAACACCTGTACGTGGTCAGGGGTGAGTGTGGACTTTTTGTAAGTTGGCGCGTCAGGAGTGGGGTGATTGTATGGGTGTGGGAAGGTGATGAGAGAGGACTTCAAAATAGATGACTATTGCGAGTTCGGCATGTGTTTGTCTTTGTTCCATGTGTGTTCCGTGTGTGTGTGTGTGCGTGCTCCGTGTGTGTGTTGCATGTGTGTGTCTACTCCTCCTCGGAGTCCGCCAGGAGCGCCCCCTTCTCCTTGTTGTGGTTCTTAGAGAGCGGAAGCAAAGTTCCCAGCTCCATGTGCGGAACACCACGGTTTCTGAGATTCCCTAGACTGTAATACACGAATACACAGATTGGCACACACACACACACAAAGATCCCCCGTTTAGCCTTAACAGACCGTGAGCACAAGTGTTGTTAACATGCGCCTACGAAGACTGGTCAGCACCACTCACCAATGGAGAGTCACAAAGAGGTGCATCTCTCTCAGCACCACTCACAAGTGGAGAGTCACAAAGAGGTGGATCCCTCTCAGCACCACTCACCAGAAGACGGCCGTGTAGCTGAGGGAGATGTACAGGATGGCGCCCGCAAAGTGCCAGCAGAAGCACATGGTGATGAACATCATGTTCCCCATGTCCGCCTGGTCCCACTCGGGTGCGCCGTTCGGAGGGTACAGCACAAAGCCGATCTACGCATGACCACACAACGGCAAGAGTGTAAGCATCATCATCATCAGCAGCAGCAGCAACCATGACCTATCTACTGCTGGATGAAGGACTCCACTAAGTCCTCGTCATCTGTCATGGCCCTGGGATGTAAGAATCCGTCTAGCTCCTAGACGGACGAGCTGGTCTTACTCATCGCGCTCCATCTCCTTCATGGAGGATGACCAGAGTTCGCGTGATGGTTTACGCTCCCTGGCAGGATCAGCAAAGGTGCCGCGGTTCGCTTGCAGCAGCAGCACGGCTGGCTACGTACGGTGCGGAAGAAGTTCAACACACACACACACACGTGTAACGAGTGCGACCTTGTAAGGCATTCCCCTCTGGCGCGCCCCCACCCCGACACCCCCTCCCGCCCACCCGGTCCCCCAACCCTCCCCGCCCGGGTGCTCGAACCTGAAAAAACCAGGTGCCCTGCAGCAGCGCAAAGCTGGTGCGCAGCAGCTCGAGGATGGCGTTGTCGCGGAGGAAGACCTCGAGGAAGATGGTGAGCGAGCCGGTGAACACGGGCAGCAGCAGCAGCGTGTGCACGTGCACGTCCAGCATGGTGCGTCCGTGCAGGTGGAAGTAGAAGAGGTAGCCTGCGGGGTGGGGGGGTGGTGGAGACAATGGCGGTCGCTTAGTCTGGAATTAACGATCATAACAAACACAACAATTGTTAACGAAGATTAAAGAAGATTCGAGACGCCGTCGAGAGGGAGAGGGACGAGGAGGCGCCAGGAGGAGGGGCCGCGGACGAGCGGGACTCCGAATATTTATTTATACTGGAGAAATCCAGACTTAAAGCTTTCGTGACTGTAGGAATTCATATTCGTTGGGTCTTTCGGTAAAGTCACGTAGATAGGTTCAAAGAAAAGAACAAAAAACTACGACGTTTCGATCGCAACACAAGCGGTCGTCATCAGGAGAAATTCCATGAGCTATGAAGCTTTTTTTCACAGATGTCCAGTAGGGGCACGAGGTCTGGACGTTACGACGATGGACAATGCAAAAACACGATTGGAATGCAAAGTATTGGAAAGGTAAACAAATCACTTAAATCATAAAAACAAATTAAACTAAAATTAAAAACTTTTATCTGAACAGGTATGGAAGGCAGCCGCTGAGCCGGTGCTACCTGCAATTGCCCAAGCTCTGCAGTCCTGCGTATGTTGAGGGCAATTCACGAGTGTTTGACACGTCAGAGGAAACAGAAGCACCGGGGAGACAACCCGAGCGTGCGAGGGGGGAAACGGTGCGCGTTGTCCGCGGTACCGCGCTCTGCTGCAGAGCCACAGTACGGCGCCTCCTCCTCACCCATTCAGGGCTCGCGTGGAGCGGCGCCATCGCCCCCCTTCGGCGCGTTAGAGCACACGCGCAGGCGGGCGGACGTCACACGGACGGGCGGGCAAACGCTTAATTCCCACAGAAGCTACCCCCACACGAGGGTGCTGCAAAAACGTCGGACATCGTGTCTAAAGAACACGGGGCCCGACCTGACGCGGTGAGGCACAACCGCGAACGCCCATTGCTGTGCTCGGGTAGCGACTAGCGTGCGCGCATTTTGCATTTCGCATGCGTACAGGCGAAGTGTCCTCGCATGGACGCGTGCATTTTTTGACGGGCATGGCATTAATTTGCCCCATGTAAAATAACGGGGTAATTATGTCTCTCATCGTAGCCACGGTTACGGAAGCCTCCACTCGGAGAGGGGGGGGGGGGGGAAGAACGAATCTCACGAGATGAAACAAGTGGCCCCGCTCGCCCAGTCCCCCCCAACCCCTCAGCGACCCGCCCACCCCCGCAACCCACGCGTGATCGTTAAAAATGAACGGTGCACGGAGGGAGGTGTGAAATCGCATTCCGCCAAATTCACGCGCCGAGCGTGAGTCGGAGGAGTCACGCGAGATGGTGGGCGCGATGAAGCAGCTCATTTGTTGTGAGTTTGAGAAAACGGCGTTGGATCAGCGAGACCGCTACCTGCTTCGGTGTGCGGTTTAGAAGCGCGGCCGCGAGCCAAAAAAAGCGCAAGAAAAAAAACACGAAGGTGGCCAAAATAAGGAGCGTGCAGAGAGAGGTGCATGCTGGGAATTGCACTGACATTAACGGCATCATCACAGCTGTTAAGAACAATCCACTGTGAATAATGACGGAGTCGGAGCGAGGCAATCAGCTGATGTCCCGGTGGAACATTGTCCCGCGAAATCGTGAGCGATGGCGACGACTTGGGGTGGCCTTCATCCAGCAGCGGACCGATCGGGGCTGCTGGCGACTATGATGACGATGAGACAAAATATCTATGGAACCTTTTTTTGCCAGCATCCAAAATAAGAATAGGCTTTGCCCTTTCTGGCAATTTATTTTTACTTCGCGAATGCTTTCTGGCAATAAAACAGGTGCTTTAGATGTTAACATGTTCAAACACCAATGGGATGTCTTTTTCAAGGCATTAAGAATCGGAACCTTTATTTGACCGTGCAAGGATCCGATGAGCTACGAATCCCTTTTTTCACAAACGTCCAATAACACCGCGACGAATCACTTTCCAATTGGAAACTCGAATGAGGTGAACGCCTTCGAACGAGCAGGGGGCGGCCTTTCCTCTCCCAGCAGGCTCGTCAACGCACTCGTCAACGCGCTCGTCAACGCACTCGTCAACACGCTCGTCAACGCGCTCGTCAACACGCTCGTCAACACGCTCGTCAACACGCTCGTCAACGCGCTCAGCAACACGCTCGTCAACACGCTCGTCAACACGCTCGTCAACGCACTCGTCAACGCGCTCGTCAACGCGCTCGTCAACACGCTCGTCAACGTGCTCGTCAACACGCTCGTCAACACGCTCGTCAACACGCTCGTCAACGCGCTCAGCAACACGCTCGTCAACGTACTCGTCAACACGCTCGTCAACACGCTCGTCAACGCGCTCAGCAACACGCTCGTCAACACGCTCGTCAACACGCTCGTCAACGTGCTCGTCAACGCGCTCCGCCGAGCGACTGCGAGCGCGCGCCGTGCGTCACCCATCGCCCTGTGGAGGCGGTGGTGGGTTGGTGGATAGCACAAACTCTGCGAAACTCCCTTCCCTCCGCGGGCGTCTCGCTGCCGTACCCTGTCTCGCCAGGAAACGGCAGTCACGGCGAGTGGGCTAAATCCGCCATTCCCTTTTTTCCATCTGTGCGGGGATCGAGCATTGCCCCCTCGCGCAAGGGCGTGGGGTTTTCTCCGGGTGCTCTGGTTGGTTTCCATCCCACTTGTGCAATCAACACGACTCATCATTAAATCGGCTGAAAAAATCTTAAAATAAAAGACCGACAAAAGAGCCCTCTGACTCAGTGCGGCTTTCCTGGACAAATAGGTGAATTCTCATTCAGCACACAGATCAAAGACACGGCAGGTACAATAAGCGCTAATGTGCTTACACAAAGTGTTCCTCGCAAATATGGCCCCGTGCCCTTCCGTGTCGCTGTCATACCGTACGCAGCTCCCCCCATGCGTTTTTCGCATCGCTCAGAACGATATCCGACGTTTCCCCTTCAGGCCCCTTGGGGAGCTACATTAGAAAATGAATTAATGTAAGCACCATAGCAGTCACAAAAAGATATATCGTGACGACCCCATGTTACAAATGGACGGACGCACGGACGGATGGACGGACAGACTAAGCCAAGGTGTGAATATTCTCCAGCGAAGTCAAAAGCTTCAGTGCGTAATTGCGTTAGCTCTGTCCGATTTTGGAGCTTCCCGAAGAAGCTTCCGAAACTTGGAAGCCGAAACGTCGGACGTCGTGGTACACATGGCGGAGAACATGTGCTCACCATCATAATTAATCATACTATAATAAAATCATGCAAGTGTACGGACCTCGATTCAGAAGGAGGAAAATTATTCACTCGTTGAGATAATTAAATGTTGAGTGTTGGGTTGCTGTGGTTTTAATCTCACAAATGAAACAGGCGGATGTTTGGATTTGACTGCAAAGCGCCTCCAACCTCTGCACCACCACCATATTATCGTGCTTTGCTTTCTTCTTATTCCAGTTACGCTTTTTTTTACCACAGTTGCGAAACGCGGCTATTGTGCAAAGTAAACAGGAAGGCTTTCCGTGACCAATATCACAATCCATACTTGCGTTTCGTCGTAGTAACTAGTATTATTACCGTTATTATTATTTTTAGTTGTATGGAGCGTTAACTAGACACACGTAGGGCAGCGCGCACAGCGCCTGAATGCCTTCTCTTTTGCCCATTTTAAAAAACCCATTCCCCGATGAGCCTCTCTCATCCGCTACCCCCTAATACCTTGTCGCTCACACTCTCAACACGACAATCATTCGCGTTGTCACGGAGAGAAATCGTGCGACATAAATAAGCCGAAAATGCGTCACCCTCACACATCTGTCTCTGTATGTACGGTAAAACCTCGTTATTTCGGTGCTTGATCATTCGTAATTGGGGATAATTCGGCACGGCTGCGCTTGCAGCATATGCCTTCTATTAGTAATTCGCCATGAGCCGCAATTTCCCACCCAAATGGTCTAATTTCGGCATAGCACGTGGAGTGACGTCACGCACCACGACCAAAACGACTCGGTCTGGTGGCAGTGCACGTGGTGAGTGCAGGCCCGTCATCGCTTTGGATTTCACCTCGTTTGTGCCGTCTGTGCACAAGCCAACCCTCTCGTAAATGTCGTCTACACCTGCATAAAGAAGTAATAGAAAGGGGCTGAAGTATAAATCCCTTAGTCTGCGAGACAAATTTCAAAGATTTGGGTGGAATTGATGCAGGGCGTGTGTCAATGCGCATGCTGCGTGAAGAGTTTGACATCAAATTAAGCACCTTGAACATACAGTAGAGTAGGTGCATACTAAGTGCGTTAAGCCTCCCTCTACAAACTCTGTCACCTACCACGTGAAACCTACCACATCCTCCTTCCTCGCCTGCAGTGCCGGTTACTTTTTTGGAAAATAATTTTTGGAAAACAAATTTGGAGAAACATTTTTTTATTGGGGCAGAAGGCACCAGGGAGTACCATTGTACACAACTCGGAATATTGGATAATTCGGCAAGGCCAGAGCCCCATATATGTCGAATTAACAAGAGTTTACTGTATCGTACAATTATGCGTCCAACTATGACCCAAATCTCTAAGCGGGGGGTCCTTGCCGATACAACCTGGCAGTTCTCACCAGCATTAAATTCAAGCAAGCCTAAGCCTGCTGATGAGATCCCTATGTCAAAACTGGCTCAGAGTTTGCTTATACTGACTCAATGTAATCGTGTACTTCCGGAAGGTAGTGGGGCTGATGGGATTTGTGAATAATACTTTAATTTTTTTACATGGAGAGACGCAGATGTGCAGGAGACATGCTCTGCTTACCTATTTTGTCTGCTACAATCTGACAGTCATCACAGTTTGGTGAGATAAGGACCAACAATCATTTCTGGAATGCATTTGCAAGTCCTCAAACGCTGGTCACCCATTCCACTTGAGTGAGACAATCCACACGTCGCTCCCAATATCCCTTCGGAATTTCTCAAACGTCTAGGACCCATCGCACTGAGTAGCTCATCTCCACCGCACCCTCCCGTGGAGGTGAACGCGTGGAGGTGAACGCGTGGAGGTAAACGCTAGGAGGTGAACACGTGGAGGTGAACACGTGGAGGTGAACACGTGGAGGTGAACGCGTGGAGGTGAACGCGTGGAGGTGAACACGTGGAGGTGAACGCGTGGAGGTGAACACGTGGAGGTGAACACGTGGAGGTGAACACGTGGAGGTGAACACGTGGAGGTGAACACGTGGAGGTGAACGCGTGGAGGTGAACGCGTGGAGGTGAACACGTGGAGGTGAACGCTAGGTGAACACGTGGAGGTGAACGCGTGGAGGTGAACACGTGGAGGTGAACACGTGGAGGTGAACACGTGGAGGTGAACACGTGGAGGTGAACGCGTGGAGGTGAACACGTGGAGGTGAACACGTGGAGGTGAACATGTGGAGGTGAACACGTGGAGGTGAACACGTGGAGGTGAACACGTGGAGGTGAACACGTGGAGGTAAACGCTAGGAGGTGAACACGTGGAGGTAAACGCTAAGAGGTGAACACGTGGAGGTGAACGCGTGGAGGTGAACATGTGGATGTGAACACGTGGAGGTGAACATGTGGAGGTGAACACGTGGAGGTGAACACGTGGAGGTGAACACGTGGAGGTGAACACGTGGATGTGAACGCGTGGAGGTGAACACGTGGAGGTGAACACGTGGATGTGAACACGTGGAGGTGAACACGTGGAGGTGAACACGTGGAGGTGAACACGTGGATGTGAACGCGTGGAGGTGAACACGTGGAGGTGAACACGTGGAGGTGAACACGTGGAGGTGAACGCTAGGAGGTGAACACGTGGAGGTGAACGCGTGGAGGTGAACACGTGGAGGTGAACACGTGGAGGTGAACACGTGGAGGTGAACACGTGGAGGTGAACACGTGGAGGTGAACACGTGGAGGTGAACAATGCGCCCGCACACCTTCCACGAAGACGGCGAGCGCCAGCATGAGGCGGTCCAGGCCGCGGAGCGGCATGCCGCGGCACGTGTGCGTCACGATGTCGGCCACCCCCGAGATGGCGAAGAACAGGTACATGGTGGTGTGCTGCCAGTTCATGAGGTGGTCCCACCCGCCCTCCTGCCGGTTGTACAGCCGCATGTGCGGCCCGTCCGGCACGAACTGCTCCGCCATCATGCCTGACGCACGCCCAGACACGCGAACAGCGCTCGTCTCCGTCATCAGCCATCAACCACCGCCATCGCCAACGGCCGTCACCGTCCACGGAACCACCGCCACTCGACGCCGTCTGTCAGTCGCCCGTCGCCAGCGTTCATTGTCATCTATGAATCATTCACCACCACCGCCGTCACTGCCATTTGCCATCATGCATCAATATTCACCACCAACATTCAACATGATCGATCAATCACCACCACCATCATTATTATTCATAAATCACCACCACAACCATCATCATTCATCAATTACCACCACAACCATTATTATTCATCATTCACCACCACAACCATCATCATTCATCAATTGCCACCACAACCATCATCATTCATAAATCACCATCACAACCATCATCATCATTCATCAATTACCACCACAACCATCATCATTCATAAATCACCACCACAACCATCATCATCATCATTCATCAATTACCACCACAACCATCATCATTCATAAATCACCACCACAACCATCATCATCATTCATCAATTACCACCACAACCATCATCATAATTTATCAATCACCACCACAACCATCATCATCATTCATCAGTTACCACCACAACCATCATCATCATTCATAAATCACCACCACAACCATCATCATTCATCAGTTACCACCACAACCATCATCATCATCATTCATCAATCACCACTACAACCATCATTCATCAATTACCACCACAACCATCATCATCATCATTCATCAATTACCACCACAACCATCATCATCATTCATCAATTACCACCACAATCATCATCATCATTCATCAATTACCACCACAACCATCATCATCATTCATCAATTACCACCACAACCATCATCATTCATCAATTACCACCACAGCCACCACTGCCACCAATCGTCGTCATCACCCATCGATCAGCACCACCGCCATTGCCACGCAACCCACCGACGATCGAGAAGACCGTCTTGACGGCGCCCTCGATGATGTCGAGGCGGTTCTCGCTGGCGACGCACGATGCCGGGAGCCCCGTGGGGCCGCCACCGCCGCCACCGCCGCCACCACCCAGCTTGCGCTGCCGCCAGCGGTACCTGAGCGGGTACTTGATGGCCCACCACACGGCGAACAGGATGAAGAAGCTCCCGGGGAGGGCGTGACCCTTGAAGTTCCCCATCTGCGCGGTCTGTTTGACGAGCGACGCGTGCGATCGTTTGGGGGTTGCTCTTTCGAGTGTTCTTGTTCGTTATTGCAGGAGGCACCTCCGGGTGAGCGCCTGCGAGTGGGAGGCGAGGGGAGGAAGAGGGAGGAGGAGTGAGGACGGGGTCAGGGTTAGGGTGGTACGAGTACCGTTTTGTTCCTGTTCGGCGTGTGAGTGAACCCTTTACAGCAGGCGTTGGGGGACCTTGTCCTCAGAGGGCCAATTACAGGACGTTGCAATACCTTTGATGGCCAGACAAAGACAAAGATCCCCCGTGTAGACTTAACAGACCTTTGGAGCAAGTGCTGTTAGCGAGCATCTATGAAGGCCAGAACGGCACACGAGGGGGTGGGTGGCCAGCACCACGCCCGACCGCCTTTGTCCCCCCAGTGGCGATGTTTACACACCACACAAGGTACTCAATTAAGGCCGAGTCGACCTAGGGGAGGCCCATAGCCTGTTCAGATAATCGTCACTGGTGTTTGCCGTGAGCGGGAATCGAACTCGGGTCAGCGGGTTTGTAGCGCAGCGCGCTAACCACTACACTACCGCTCCCCACAGGTGGCCAGCCACAGATTCACACGCACAGACATGCACACACAACAACAACCGCCATTCGCCACTATGTGGCGGTCACGTCACCACGACGCTTGTGCCAGGCTATGTGCACCTTGAGGCCACGTGAAGTGTCGAACGCCCGCTGGCAGGAGGTCACGGGGAAGATCCAGGTGCCACGGGTTGACTGACTGAGATGACTGGCTGATGCACCACCTGTGCCCCCTACTGTGCCAACCTGCTGTGCTTTAGCCACCCGGCACTCCGCTCGTTGTTGTGAGCATGGCTCCTCCGCCTTCCGTTGTTGTTGGAGGGCGACTGCCTCCAACTGCCCAGTAGTGTCCTTCACAAGCTTCCTCCACAGAGGCCGTTCTTGACACCGCTGGTACCAGTCATCAGCAAGTCCACTCAGCTCCACGTCCTCCTGTACCACATCACTCCATCTCTTCTCTAGCCCGTGCAGCGCCCGTTTAGCCCCCTCGATCCGGCCGAACAAAAGCTGTTTCGGCATGCGGTGGCTGGGCATGCGGGCTACATGACCCAGCCAACACAGCCTTGCCTGCCAGAGGAGCTCACCGATGGGACCTTGCCCAGATCTCTAAAGGATTTGTGAGCTCCTCACACAATCCAGCCTGGTTAAACCCAGGATGGATCGTAGGCAGGCCAGCCTAAATGTTTCTAACCGGCGAAGATCTTCCATTAAGGGGGTCCACGTTTTGCAAATGTAGAGAAGGGAGGGAATGACCGTGGCCGAGAAGACCTGAAGCTTAGTGAGGAGCGACAGACCAGGTAGCTTTCACACAGCGTTATGCAACCGATGAAAAGATATTGCCACTCGACTGATTCGGAGTAAGACCTCTGCTGTTAAACTGGAGCCGGTCATAAGCACACTGCCCAGGTATGGGAAACTCTCCACTCTCTCCACAACTGCCCCATCACTGATTGGGAGTTGTGGGGGTGGAGTGTCCAATGGTACAAAATACCCAGGCAGGTGCTTAGTTTTGGTGGGGCTGATGGTAATGCCCCATCTCTTAGTGGCACGCTTCAGTCTCAGCAGCAGCATCTCCAACTCCTCCTCTGAATGAGCAGCTATCACCAAATCATCGGCATACATAACGTGGTTGAGCAATAGGGAGCCATCCCTTGACCGCACCCAGGCATCGATCAGCCTCCCATTATATCTGTACCAAATGGAGATTCCCCCGTTACAGCTATTGAAGGCTTCACGAACTACGTGGTCAAAATAGATGTTAAATAATGTGGGAGCCAGAGGACATCCCTGTCGGACCCCAAGGTGTACAGGGAATGGCTCTGACTCCCGGCCACGTAGTTTTACCCGGGCCCGCTCACCATCATGAAGGCCCTTAATGATCGTGAGCAGGGGATCAGGGACTCCAAAAGCACGAACAACAACCCAGAGCCCAGGCCTATTGATGGCATCATAGGCCTTGACCAGGTCAATAAAGCAGAGATGTAGGTCTTGTTGGAATTCCCTATACCTCTGCTGTAGCAGACGGACAGAAAATATGGCATCTGTGCAGGACCGCCCTTTCCTGAAACCACATTTGGGGCTCGGCAAGCCTCTCCTCAACGTGCCTGGCAAGGCGATGTTGTTTAATCCTTGCCAGGACCTTTCCTGGCACACTGAGGAATGAGATGCCCCTGTAGTTGTTACAGTCTGTGCGGTCCCCCTTCTTAAAGAGGGGGACCACCAGGGAAACCTTCCAATCCTGCGGAACCCGTCCAGTGGTCCAGACTGTTGTTATGATGTCATATAGGGCAGTCTGTGCACAAACACCACCCTCCCTCAGCATTTCGCTTGGGAGATAATCTCTGCCCGCTGCCTTTCCTAGATATCTTAGACGTGGTTTAGTGGTACATTTTTGAAGGTGGAGGGGTTACCAGCCCCTCGCACCCATCCAGAGCCCCCGTTTAGCTGTGGGGGGAGGTCCAATCGGAATTGGACCTCCCCCCACAGCACTGTCCACGACAGAGTTGCCCGTCCGGCACCGCGAGGAGGTAGGGGGTTGTTTTGCACACACACATACACACGCACACACACACGCACACACATACACACACGCACACACACACGCACACGCACCCACACTTCTTAGCGTTAGGCAATAGCACGAAACAGAAGAATGTGCGTGTCGTGTAAAGAGGCCCCCCCCACCACCACCACCAACAACAACAAGCGCCACTCGCCTCTAAGTGGCGGTGACGTCACCACGACGCTTGTGCCAGGCCCCCCACCCCCGCCCCTCTCAGTAACACAAGTGACCGAGCGTGGCACCAAACCGAGACACGCGGCATTGTCGCCAGCTCCAAAAGTATTCTTTGCGATTCTTCCGTCGCCACTGTCCCATTCTTGGAATTCCCTCCCGTCGGTTGTCCCCCCATCCCCCCAAAATCCTCGTAACACAAAAAAACTGTCCAGGGTTTTGCTTGTTTTGAAACAACGCTGCTGAAATGAAACACTCCCAGAAGGAAGAGCGGCCGGCTGGTGAGTGGTGGTGTAAGAAATACTTCTATTTTAGATTATGCGGACAGGCGGTCCTATGTGAAGGAGACGTTGCTTATCTATTTTGTTCTGTCCAGGTTTGAAAGCCAAGTGACGGCTTCGAGTAAGGAGAATCAACATCAGAATCTGTATGTACACTGGAGGAATCCGATGAACTACAAAGCTCTTTATCACAGATGTCCAGACACTGAATTACCCTCTGCTGATGCCGCTTGCTGTCTCCGTTCCGTTTAATCCATTTGCGGAGTACTTCCAGTGGTGCACAACGCGCCCTGCGGTTTGCTCAGATTCTCTGCAATCCCCCCTCGCCCCCCTCCCCCCCATCCCACTTTTAAACAAGGTCACGCTACAGGGCAGGAGGTGTCCCGTCCTGTGACGCAGCGGCTTTTTGCTTTGTGTTCTACGGGTAACACGACGATGACAACGGCTGCCCGACGAGTTATGAAACACAACCCTCGCAATGCAAACCCGCGTGTCCGGGGTTCATTAAACATGCATGTGTCACACCTGGCGGCGCGCATGGAGGCGACCGCTGCTGGCTCCAGAGCCGCCTTCGTCTTCCCCAGCACCCCCCCCCCCTCCTCCTCCTCCGCCACCGCTCCCACCCACCCACCCACCCCCCCCCCCGAATCGTGGCGCCAGCGATTGAGCCGCTCTTTTTTTGTAACCCTTCGCAGGGTCGCAGCCGAAAGTTTTGGAACGCAAAGCAAGCGAGCGGGCGATAGGCGCAAACGCAATTGCCTTCGCCTCCTTCCCAAATCTGTTGCTCCCCCCCCGCCCCCATATGAAATAAAAACAAAATCCAGTTTTTTTTTCACGCATCCCAGCAGCCACATTTCAGCGGCACTGGGTCAACGCGAGCGCTTGCGATTAGCACGGTTGGCTGCGTATGGTGCGAAAGAAGTTCAAAATACATACATGGAAAACTCAGGACCGGTTTTGACATTCAGTGTCTCTCATCAGCTCTCGAGTCAGACTCGCTTGAACAATGCTCACACTGGGGGCTTCCACGTCATCATCAGTACACTGTGTCACAATTTTTTTGTTCCTGGGTAGTAAGTGGCATTTCCGAATTGCTTATGCCTCAAAAGTACAGAAAATGGCTATTATTCCCCACAAACTTTGCTTTTGTGACCAGGACAGTGATATTTAGAAATGTAGCTATTTTCAATGAGAAAACGTGCGAATTGGTCTTTTCGTTCACATAGTCAGAAAAAAAACATATTAATCAAAATTTACATGTATTTATACTCAAGTAAGACAAAAATTGCTACAAAATATTTAGAAGTGAGTAGTTTTTCATATGGTCAGCAGGGGAGGTAAGATAGAATGGGTTTCACCAGCTTACATTGACCAGCATGGCAAAGCACGGCCAAATAATCCCCATGACCGGCACAGCATGAGGAGGCCTTCATCCAATAATGGGTTTGACAAAAAACTTAAAATAGTAATTAAACACCGAACGGATGATAATGCCTTCATGTGGTATACAGTATTCACTTATAATAATCATAAAAATAATAATGGGAGTTTACCTTGAGAAGCCTCATAGTCTCAAGGTACTTTTCCAAGCGGGTCAGCTGGCTGCGTGAGGATGTTTGGCCGATTAGAATCCTTCAAGTTTGGCTTCTTGTGGAAGGAAACCGGAGAACCCCAAAAAACACCCCTACCACGTATAGGAGGAGGGACTCACAGACTCGCAGCTCCACACAGATGGATTCAATAAAAATCCATTGCTGTGGTGCCATCTATTTTTTTTTCTCAGCAGGCAAGACCCCACAGCTGTGTGGCTCTTTTTCTTTTTCGGAAACCACCTGGCCACAAATGAGAGCTCAACAAAGTCTCTTACCACGTGGAAGTGTATAGCAGCCAAATACTCTAAACGCGTGATGTTGATTCTAAATGTGGAGGAAAAAAGCGGAGGACCCGGAGGAAAATACACACGACCACAGGGAGAAAATGCAAACTCCAAATATACAGCAGTAGGCGTTCAGGGTCAGGATCGGACCCACGACCTCCTGTACACCAGACAAGGTAGTTAACATCTCATAGCCACCGTGGCACCATCCTGGCCACCTCGCAGTCAGCCTTAAACCTACAACACCTGGTATTATCACGCAGTCTCCCATTCAAGTACAAACCAGGCTCAAACCTGCTGGAATTGTATAAATTCTAAATCTTTAATACTGGTGGTAAAGTGCAGCCCCCCTACCGAGTATGAAAATAACCAAGCCACGGAAATCCCCACCACCTCCTGCCACACCCCACATCAACGCGCCCCCCACCCCCCACGATACGATGTTAATAGTTGAATATTTACAATTCGACGATTTATCGGAGACATCACTTTCCCGTAACTTTGTCATTTGCATTTCACCTTCTGTTTGTGCGCTGCTGTGTATTTTAAAGGTTCCATCGTCAGCGCCGTGCGTATTCTTTTTACGTGGCCTCGTCAAAGAGGGGGAAAAAGCCGCTAAAGTAACAAAAACACCACGACTTTTATCCAAAACGGTGCGTGGGTGCGTGCCTCTAAGCCGCGTCTAAACGCGTTGGGGTGGGATGGAGGGGGGCTGTTCGGAGCCCCCACCACCCCCCACGGCAATGCCTACAGTTGTTTGTACCGCTGACCCTTTAACCCACACACACGCACGCATATCGTCAGGTGATGACGGAGTGGCGCAAGACGAAGTGAAGTTCGCGGCCGCCACTCCAAAGTCAAACGAGGATCCGCCTCGGTGTCACCATCTGGAGAGGCACTTTTACCCATGTGGCAATTTCGCATGGTTACACAGACACCCACTTATCAGTTGGCATTTATCCAAATTTAGGTTGCTGTAAACTTTTTTTACAAACCAGATTCGAATTACATTATCCTGTAGGCACATACATTGGTTTTGGAGTTGGCCATCGGGGAGAAGACCACTAGCGTGCTGTCAGGGGAGAACCTGGTTCAGTCGTGGCCGGTGGGCAGACTCGAGCCATCTCAGAATCCGTGGAACAGCGGCCGGGTGGCAACCATTGCCGGCGAGGAGATTTATTTGATCGCTCGTTTGTTCGTTCAGTCGTTCGCTCAAGAGGCCATCGCAGCCAATGCCAGTGATGCCATCACACCTCGCCGTCACTTCCTTCCTTCTGCCAGGCTGTATGTTGAACTTCTTTCGCACCGTACGTAGCCAACCATGCTAACCAGAGTTGCAGATGGTGGTGGTGGTCATACTGTAAGGTACGCTCTTACAGTCTGACTACCATCACCACCACCACTACCAAAATCTGATGTTAGGTCGCTGACCTCTGGGTATCAGTCCAATGCCCGTCTCAGTCATATGTCCTCCCTGCACCCCCACGCGTCCCACCCATCACAACCTCCTCCACCTGATGTCATCGAAACAACACTTCTAAGCCCTACATATTACTCTCACAGGATCTTACAGGTTCCTCACACTATTCTCATCCAACGGTGAATGGCAATGTGATAGTGACACATATATAAAAACACTTGAAAGGCAGATAACGTTAACCTTGGTTCAAAAAATAGACCAGCATCAATCAAGGGCACATGTGGCCCGAATCTAAACAATCAAATACAAATTTAAACAACATTGCCGCTTGCCAGCTCAGCTCACTTGCAATCACACAAAGATCCCCCATATAGCCTGAACAGACTGTTGGTGCAAGTGCTTGTTATAAAGCACCTATGAAGGCCGACATGGCACACGATGCGAGCTTTTCACCACTCGTGCCAGATAATAATTTAAAAGCTGAGTCCACCTAGGGAAGGCGCGGAAAAGGGTCGCCGGATTCAAAGTGCAGAGCACAAACCGCTGGGCTGCCGTTCCCCACCCGCACACAACACAAAATCATAACCACAATGCTATTGTACCTGTAACTAAACATCTGGTGGTGCTGCTACTTTCGCAGTGGTGCACAAGGACAGTCAACAACATAACAAAATAAACCCAGTAACATTTGTCACAAACATTGTGGTCCAAAAATAAACCGTATATAATAGGCGACGTTTTTATCAATGACCCTTCTTCATAGCAAATATGCCAGATATGGAGTGGACAAAACGAGTTTGAGATGGCTACTATCTATGGTAGTACTACACAACATGCGTTACTTTTCTTCGAAATAATTTAATTAAAACGCGATGAACCTCTTTACGACAGATGTCCAGTCGGGCGCAGGTCAGAAAGTGTTACAAGAACAAACCAAATAGGTATACAAATAAAATAAAACTATAGGAGCGCAAACTATAGAAAAGGTTGATAAGTACCTTGAAGCTGTGCTTTTTAGTTGTGTTTGTTCTCCAACTTTTGGGCAAGCCTTTAGATCAGTGGTTCTTCTTAACCTGGGGTGCAACGCACTCCCTGGGGGTGCGAGACATGGCCAGACATTTTTAGAAGGTAAATCATTGAAAACACAAATTAAGCCCGGGCACGCAAGTACAACTTCCTTGTTTAATCAAACCCTATGCATGTATTAGCATTATAAATGTTTCACGCTTGAGAACCAAAGGGGTGCGAGGCAACAGTAAACGTTAAGAATCGCTGCTCTGGTTTTCTCGAGGCCAAGTCCCCCAACAGCAACGCAACTTTACACCGAAGTTCCCTTCGTCCGTCGCTCATCGTCTGTCGAAATTGCGCTCGCAGTCCGCCCGCGTTACATCCGGACGGACGGAGCGAATGCGTCAAGTAAGGAACGAGGAGGGCTTTCAAGCTCGCTCAGCAAGCGTGAAGACAACAAGAGTCACTCCTCACCCCTCTCCGCGGTGGATCCGAGAGGCTCCCCCTGGCTGGCGGCGCCTCGATCAGCGAGCAACTGGCGTGTGTCAGGGCACGGTAGGTGTGCCCTATGGTAGGGAGGCTGTGCTCTATGGTATTGGTAGGCTGTGCTTTGAAGGCTGTCCTGTGGTAGGCTGTCCTGTGGTAGGTGGGTTGGTGCTACGGTAGGTTGGTGCTACGGTGGGTTGGTGCTGCGGTAGGTTGGTGCTGGGGTAGGTTGGTGTTGTGGTAGGTTGGTGCTATGGTAGAGGTTGGTGCTGGGGTAGGTTGGTGCTACGGTAGGTTGGTACTGCGGTAGGTTGGTGCTGGGGTAGGATGGTGCTATGGTAGGTTGGTGCTACGGTGGGTTGGTGCTACAGTAGGTTGGTACTGCGGTAGGTTGGTGCTACGGTGGGTTGGTGCTACGGTAGAGGTTGGTGCTGGGGTAGGTTGGTGCTACGGTGGGTTGGTGCTACAGTAGGTTGGTACTGCGGTAGGTTGGTGCTGGGGTGGGTTGGTGTTACGGTAGGTTGGTGCTATGGTAGGTTGGTACTGCGGTAGGTTGGTGCTGCGGTAGTTTGGTGTTACGGTAGGTTGGTGCTACGGTAGGTTGGTACTGCGGTAGGTTGGTGCTGCGGTAGGTTGGTGCTGGGGTAGGATGGTGCTGGGGTAGGTTGGTGTTACGGTAGGTTGGTGTTGTGGTAGGTTGGTGCTACGGTAGGTTGGTGCTACGGTGGGTTGGTGCTGCGGTAGGTTGGTGCTGCGGTAGGTTGGTGCTGCGGTAGGTTGGTGTTGTGGTAGGTTGGTGCTATGGTAGGTTGGTGCTACGGTGGGTTGGTGCTGGGGTAGGTTGGTGTTGTGGTAGGTTGGTGCTATGGTAGAGGTTGGTGCTGGGGTAGGATGGTGCTGGGGTAGGTTGGTGTTACGGTAGGTTGGTGTTGTGGTAGGTTGGTGCTACGGTAGGTTGGTGCTACGGTGGGTTGGTGCTGCGGTAGGTTGGTGCTGCGGTAGGTTGGTGCTGCGGTAGGTTGGTGCTGGGGTAGGTTGGTGCTACGGTGGGTTGGTGCTACGGTGGGTTGGTGCCGGGGTAGGTTGGTGCTACGGTAGGTTGGTGCTGGGGTAGGTTGGTGCTACGGTAGGTTGGTGCTACGGTAGGTTAGTGCTGCGGTAGGTTGGTGCTGCGGTAGGTTGGTGCTGCGGTAGGTTGGTGCTGGGGTAGGTTGGTGCTGGGGTAGGTTGGTGCTACGGTAGGTTGGTGCTACGGTGGGTTGGTGCTGGGGTAGGATGGTGCTGGGGTAGGTTGGTGCTACGGTGGGTTGGTGCTGCGGTAGGTTGGTGCTACGGTGGGTTGGTGCTGGGGTAGGATGGTGCTGGGGTAGGTTGGTGCTGGGGTAGGTTGGTGTTACGGTAGGTTGGTGCTACGGTGGGTTGGTGCTGGGGTAGGTTGGTGCTAGGGTAGGTTGGTGCTACGGTGGGTTGGTGCTACGGTGGGTTGGTGCTGCGGTGGGTTGGTGCCGTGGTAGGTTGGTGCTGGGGTAGGTTGGTGCTACGGTGGGTTGGTGCTACGGTGGGTTGGTGCTACGGTGGGTTGGTGCCGGGGTAGGTTGGTGCTACGGTAGGTTGGTGCTGCGGTAGGTTGGTGTTGTGGTAGGTTGGTGCTGTGGTAGAGGTTGGTGCTACGGTAGGTTGGTGTTGTGGTAGGTTGGTGCTACAGTGGGTTGGTGCTGGGGTAGGTTGGTGCTGGGGTAGGTTGGTGCTGGGGTAGGTTGGTGCTACGGTAGGTTGGTGCTACGGTGGGTTGGTGCTACGGTAGGTTGGTGCTATGGTGGCTGTGCTGTGATAGGTTGGTGCTATGGTAAGCTGTGCTATGGTAGGTTTATGCTATAGTAGGCTGTGCTACGGGCTGCTGTTTTCAAGCCGCCTATTGATCTGGCCGTGGCGGGTTCAAGACGAGCGAGAGATAGTTGCTAAGTGACCACGTGCTTCGCGGGTCTGACGAAGGTGCGTGTGCCGGTGCGTGCGTGTCACCGTGGACGTGGGGAGCGGTGGCGCAGTGGTTGGAGCGCCGCGCTACGAACCTAGCCACCCGGGTTCGATTCCCGCTAACGGCCAACACCCTGTGGCGATTATTTGAATTGCTCCTGGGCCTCCCCTAGGTCGACTCAGCCTCAAATGAGTACCTGGTGCAATGTGTAAACATCGCCACTGGGGAGACAAAGGCGGCCGGGCGTGGTGTTGGCCACCCACCCCCTCCTGTGCCGTGCCGGCCTTCATAGTTGCTCGCTAACAGCACTTGCCCAAACAGCCTGTTCAGGCTATACGGGGGATCTTTGTCTTTGTGTCACCGTGGACGTGGAGAGCGGTGGCGCAGTGGTTGGAGCGCCGCGCTACGAACCCGGCGCACCTGAGCCACCCCGAGGTCGACTCAGCCTCGAATTAGTATCTGGTGCGGCGTGGAAACATCGCCACTTGAGAGACAAAGGCGGCCGGGCGTGGTGCTAACCACTAACCCCGCCTCGAGTGCCGTCCCTGCTTTTAATAGGTGCTCGCAGACACCACCTACTCACAACAGTCCATCAAACGCTACACAGGGGGAGGTCGTCGTCTTCGCTTTGTGTTTTCTGTAAGTGCGTAATTGCATGGACGCGTGTATACGTGAGTGTTTGTATGCTAACAACGCTTGCCCCAACAGGCTGTATGCTTCTCTATATACGGGGGATCTGTCTTTCCGAGTTATTTGGAGGCGTGTGTGATTGTGCAAGTCCACGCAGGGGTTTAAGGTCATGAATGGATGTGTGTGTGTGTTTAAGTATACACGTGTGTGTGTGTAGGTGTATGCATGCATGTGTTGACGCCTGTGTGCGTGTGTAAATGTTTCGTATTGGGAGCGGTGGCGCAACGGTTAGCACACCACAATAAACAAACCCGGCTTCACCTTCGTTGGATTTCGGGCCACGGCTAACATCAGTGGCGAGTGATATCCGACTAATCGTTTCGGACTTCAGCCTCCCTTATTTCGGCTCAGCGTTAACGAGCACCTAGTACGGACGGTGTGTATCAACACGAATGGGAAGACAAAGGCGGCCGGGAGTGGGACTGAACGCACCCCACCCTTGTTCCACTGTTCCGGCCTTAACAAGTGGTCGCTGACAGCACTTGCCCCAACAGTCTGTTGAAGGCTACACGGGGGGTCTTTGTCTCTGTAGGATGTTAAAAGGGATGTTTTTTTACCCTCCCACGAAACGAAATACAGCGCGGAGTGGCTCTTGTAACTGAAGCCAACGTTAGTCACGAATTCTTGATTCATTTCCTTGCTCATCGGTACAGCCAGCCGTGTGTGTACTCCGATACACATTGTGGGGAGTGGTGGCGCAGTGGTTGTCCCACAACGCTACGATTCCGGCGGCCACACGAATTCGATTCCCGCTTGCGGCCAACATCGGTGATGAACATCGGTGATGACCATCTAAACCGTTTCCTGGATCCCCCCGCACCATCCCTCCCACCCCTGGTGTACATACTGTATAGTTTATAGACTGCAGAGCACAAGGTCCATTCTCACCAACAGGACATGAACGTTCACCCTGCTTCTGATGTTGACTTGCTGATGGTAGCCTTAACCGCTTATTCCGCTGGTCATGATGATGATTATGATTATTAGTCTGATGCCGATGTTGCTGATGATATGTTGATGGTGGTGCTGCTGATGGATATGATATTTACATATGGTGGTATGGTTGCTCATGATATTATATGGATACATCCTGTGAGACGGGTGTTGATGACATCAATGCTGCTGCTGATGCTGCTGATGATGTGAGCTATTGTTTCACTGTCACGTGAAAACGTGGCCGGCTAGCCTAGCCAATGGACAAAATATGTGATGAATAGCCCTACATTCCATCTCCCCACGTAAAATCTATTCATTTTAGTCCGTCAGCCTAACCGCCTTCTTCTGGACCAACCTTTTACAGCAGCATTTGCTTAAGTAGGAAAACTGAGCCAATGTTGACTTGCTGGCTCTTATCAGCAGTGTCAGTCACATTGAGTAAATCACTGCCCTGCCGGCTTGCCAAATGTTATGAACTTGGGCACCCCATCTACACGACGGGTGCCCTGTCTACGTTCAAAAAATCCGTAACTTATACCCATAAAAAGCCATTGTGTGTTGTGGAGTTGTATTGGTAATGACATACAGAAATAAAATTACCTCCGTTCAATATCTCACCTTAAATACATTTGTTTTAGTCCACCAACAACCAGTGACGTATGAATTACCGTATTCTCCGGATTTTAACGCAACACCCACCAGCACTCCTAAATTTTAAAGCAAAAATTTGGCGTGTGTCTAATGATCGAGTACTGCACTGACGTTGTGTGTGACTAGATTCGGCCAACTTTATTGACGCGGGGCACAAGTTTGGGGTGCGTCTTACTTTACCAGAGCAACCTATATTCCCGAGAATACGGTAACTATACTCAGGAGACGTTCACGCGTGTGCACGGCACAGCTGTCGATGCCACGTGTTCGCTGGTTGCGCCGCGGGTTGTTGAGCACGGTTAACATCAATTCCTGAAGAAGCTCCCCAGCACGTGGGGCGAAACGT